GTGGGGTGGGGCAGGAGTGACAAAGACAGTATTGTCACATGTGGATCTCTATAACGCTGTAGCACCTCTTGCACCCAGAAAGTGCTCTGTGTGTATTGGATTAAGTAGAGCTAGAGGTAAGCTTTGTATTAATTCCATTTACCATCTTGGCTTCATTTTTAATAGCCCAAGCCCAGTGGGAGTCCTTTTCATGAGAGCACTTAATTATTCCCCAGTGTACACCATAGAGAGAGAGGATCTGGGGCTGGGTAGATGCTGCTCTCTCACAGACTCAGGTCTCTGCAGCATCAAGTGCAGGTTGGGTGGGTTCCTTGGGGATTGACAGGGACAGGCCTTCTGCAAGGTAGGTGGTCCCAGGTGGTTTATTAGAACTGAGACCAGAATGGTGAGAAGGAGGCATTTGTGTGAAGACCTGGAAGCAGTTCATTCTAGTGGCATCAGTGGGCCATATAAGCTTGGGGTAGGGGCTTGATGAGTCTGAGCAACCAAGCAAGGATGGGGATGATTTTAAAGGGGTGGTATGGAATGAGGTGGGCAGCGGCCAAGGAGGTGGGTTGTGAGGGCTGTGGGGAGGAATTGAGATATCACTCTGAGAGCAAGTGTGTGTACATGTGGATGTAGCTGACAGGGTATAGGGAGAGCTGAAGTGGCTTGGAGAGTGGTAGAGATATGGCCACAACAGGCTGAAGCTGGGAGGTGCTACTAGAGTTAATGTGGGGGTGAGGGAAGGAGGGGCCACCAAATGATGTTCTGTCTCAGCTTTGTCAGCTGGGTGGCTTTCCAGGACAAACCTCAGTGCGTAGCCCCTTTGTACCTGTGTCAACAGCCTGTAGTCACTGTGCAGCCTTCTCCCTTGTCTGGTGGGTTTTCTTGCATACATCTCAGTTGCTTCTCTGGGCCTTTCCTCCCTCCTCTGTTCTCAGCATTATGGCAGAACAGGATGTAGAAAATGAGCTTCTGGATTACGAAGAAGACGAAGAACCCCAGGCTCCTGCAGAAAGCACCCCAGCACCCCCTAAGAAAGATGTCAAGGGGTCCTACGTTTCCATCCACAGCTCTGGCTTCCGCGACTTTCTGCTGAAGCCTGAGCTCCTGAGGGCCATAGTGGACTGTGGCTTTGAGCATCCATCTGAGGGTACGCTTCCCTGGTCCCCACCACCACACCTCTCCTCTGACTGTCCTCGCTGTGGTTCCCTCAGCCACCTGATGAGGGGCCCACACAGAGGGCGTCTGGTTTCCAGTCACTCATGTGCTCTCTCTCCCTCAGTTCAGCACGAGTGTATTCCCCAAGCCATCCTGGGCATGGACGTCCTGTGCCAGGCCAAGTCTGGAATGGGCAAGACAGCGGTCTTTGTGTTGGCCACTCTGCAGCAGATCGAGCCCGTCAATGGACAGGTGGGTGGGCGCCCTCCCTCCCAGGCCTAACCTACCTGAGGTAGCAGGCCCTATAGCCCCTTTGTTAAAAATTTCTGTTACCACATTCTCTTTGTGGGCCTTAAAAATGAAGTACAGTACTTAGTTGTAACAAAATTCCTCTTCAAAATAATAAGGCAAGAGAAAAAAACTGAAAAGTGCCCTTAGTTTTGCTGTCCGGAGATATGGCTGTTATTTCACTGTATATTTTCTAAATCATCCCTATTTCTGAAGGGGGGTTATACTGCACCCAATTTTGTTACTGCTCTTGCTGCTGAGATATCATAACTGTCTTCTCATGTTGTGAAAATTGTGTGCCACTCTCTTAGGGGATAATTGAGGTGAATGCCAGTGTTATGTTCTTGTCCTGCTGGGGCAACATCCTTGGGCTGTGTGTGGGTGCATGAGCTTTGGTTTCCTTAGGGTGCGTGGTGAAGGAGGTAGCTTGTATGGTTGCAGAAGGCCAGGTTAGCTGGAGAGCAGAGACTCAGCATGGGGCCTGTGCCTGGCTAGAGAGCAGTAGTGTGGGCTCTGGCCAGGGAGGATTTAGGACACTTCTTTGGGTGAGTCTTTCCTGCCCACCCCACAGGTGACAGTCCTGGTCATGTGCCACACTCGGGAACTGGCCTTTCAGATCAGCAAGGAGTATGAGCGCTTCTCCAAGTACATGCCCAGTGTTAAGGTGAGCACTCTGGGCCAGGCTGGGTGCCATGTGGTCTTCTGCAGCCTGGCTGGCCTCAGCTCTCTGGCCCAGCCAGCATTTACCAAACTTGGCTGCAGCAGCTGCCTTTGAGGTTTGCGGTGGTTTATACTCCTTAAAAGTGTAATGAATTATGCATGGCCCCAGAGGCCTGTGCCGGTCTCCACCCTGGGCTGCTTTTCAATGGAGCTGTGCCCATGGTCTCAGGCCTCTCTAGGCTTGAGTGTTGGGGCCTGCTGCACGCACTCAGCCTGAGGTGGCAGGACCGCGGGCTGGGTGACTCTCTTTATGGAGTGGAGTGAGAGACTTCAGCCCTTAGATGGGCAAAAGTGACTGACTTCCTCGACACCTTCACAGGTGTCCGTGTTCTTTGGGGGCCTTTCTATCAAGAAGGATGAAGAGGTGTTGAAGAAGAACTGTCCCCATGTTGTGGTGGGGACTCCAGGACGCATCTTGGCACTCGTGCGGAACAGGAGCCTCAACTTGAGGAACGTGAAGCACTTTGTGCTGGACGAGTGTGACAAGATGCTGGAGCAGCTGGGTGAGTGTCCCTCACTGGGTTTGTGGGGGCTGCCAGAGACCCACCCAGCCATTCCCTCCTCCCTTTCAGCCCCCCAGACTTCAGAGCCAGGTGAGCTCTGACAGACCAAGGGCTTCGCCACAGTGGGGTCATGTGGGTGGCTGGCACATAGGTCTCCTGTAAATGACCTTAGGGCAAGTTCTTGTTTTGGTCTGGTGTGACCTGCTACTTTGACTCCCAAGCTGAGTGGGACCACAGGGCCCAAATGAGCCACTGCCTGGCACACATACATGTTAGCCCTGGGCTTACCATGGCCTTATCTCCTGCTGGGTTAGTTCTAGGCCCCCTGCCTGCCCTCAGCCCTGACAGGGCCAGTCAGAGATGGGGCTTGTGTCCTGGGAGGCAGCTGCAGCTCTCACCCCAGTGGCTGTCTTTGCTTCAGGCTCCCCTCCCTGAAGCGTGGCTCCAGGTACGCTGGCACGGCTGCTTCGCTCTGGCAGCGTGTAAGTGGATTGCAGGTCCTCCTGGGCCTGCGCTCACCCTGAGTCCAACCCCACAGGCACTGGGGACTCACCCCTCCCTCTGCTCCTTGCGTACACCACCCTCATCTTGGTGCTAGGATGGGAGGGGCTGGGACTGATCTTGGGTGGGGGTTGAGGTCTGGCAGGAGCTCAGGCCCACCTGTTTCTTGTCTTCCCCACCCAGACATGCGGCGGGATGTGCAGGAGATTTTCCGCCTAACACCCCATGAGAAGCAGTGCATGATGTTCAGCGCCACCCTGAGCAAGGAGATCCGGCCCGTCTGCAGGAAGTTCATGCAAGATGTGAGTAGGGCAGTGGCCAAGACCGCAGTGCAGCAGCTTTGGGCCTCCTGGGTCCTGGGGCCCAAGCTGGCTCTGCTGCATGATACCCACAGCACAATGCTGAGAGGCTGTGGAGCCCGCCCTCCCTCCTCTGTCTTGACAGTTTGGGAGCTGAGCTTGGTCCAGACCTGAGCCAGACCAGAGCTTAGATCCAGCTGTTGGGAGAGAAGTGTTTACTGGGCGCAGCAGCCTCTCTGGGTGCATGACTGAGCATCACAGCATGGAGTCACTTCTGTAAGGTTCTGGGCAGGCAGGGTACCCAGAAATAAAGCCTTGCCCACCCTTTCCTGCTCCCCTCTCCTCAGCCTATGGAGGTGTTTGTGGATGACGAGACCAAGCTCACGCTGCACGGACTCCAGCAGTACTATGTCAAGCTCAAAGATAGTGAAAAGAACCGAAAACTCTTCGACTTGCTGGATGTGCTGGAGTTCAACCAGGTGACATTGCTCTTGCCTGTGGAGGGCCTCTGGGCCTTTGGGAGGACAGTGCCTGGGGACTCTGGCCCTGAGTCCGCTGCCTTCCTCTGGCAGGTGGTGATCTTTGTGAAGTCAGTGCAGCGCTGCATGGCCCTGGCCCAGCTGCTAGTGGAGCAGAACTTCCCAGCCATCGCCATCCACAGGGGCATGGCCCAGGAAGAGCGGTGAGTACGTGCTGCTGTGAAGGCCCAAGGCAGGACCCTGGGAGGCAGTGCTACCCAGGAACCCGGTACCTGATGGCTGCCTCCTCCTCCTGCATCCAGCCTGTCTCGCTATCAGCAATTCAAGGACTTCCAGCGGCGGATCCTGGTGGCCACCAATCTGTTCGGCCGAGGGATGGACATTGAGCGAGTCAACATCGTCTTCAATTATGACATGCCTGAGGACTCGGACACCTACCTCCACCGGGTGAGTGGCCCCACAGAGGTGTCACCTCCTTGATTATCACTTTTGGGGTGGGAACCAGGCCCAGCTTGTCCTCACATCCCCAGGTTGTGTCTTTGTGGCCCGACCTGTGCTCTTATCTCTCTGCAGGTGGCCCGTGCAGGTCGCTTTGGCACTAAAGGTCTAGCTATCACTTTTGTGTCAGATGAAAATGATGCCAAAATCCTCAATGATGTTCAGGACAGGTTTGAAGTGAATGTGGCAGAGCTTCCTGAAGAAATTGACATCTCCACATACAGTAAGTGGCTCGAGCAGGAGGGGTGGGCTGGGGTCCAGGGGCCTCTCCTTTCTCAGTGGCCTCCCCACGTGTGTCTTACAGTCGAGCAGAGCCGGTAACCACGCGCCTGACATCCCGGAGCCACCCTGCTTTCCACATGCTGCTTCAAGTCCTCTTTGTAGGCCACAGTAGGCCTTTCTTTTTACTGTTTAAAAGCTGTAGATTTGTGTAAGAATAAATTTTTATTATGAAAGCCTGGCTTTCACCCATCTGTTCTTACTGGTCTCTCCCCATTTTGCAGATGCAGTGGGTCTGGCCAGGGAGCCCCTAACCAGCCAGCAAAGCCACCTTCTGTATCAATGTGAGATTTAAGTGTCAACATTGAAAAGTTTATACAGATAATAAAAAAAAATTACACAATATCCACCACCTTCAAAACAGTGAGAACCCTCTGCCAAAGAGGCAGACTGGCCTCTGTACCGTGAGCCACAGGCAGCAGGGCCAGTAATGCCCTTCTCCCATCCTTGACCTCAGTCTTTGCTTAACAGGAAAGTTGAACCTCATCACCTTGGCCTCTTGATTTGTAGCAGACAGATGAGTGGGAGGCCAGGTGGGCACAGGAGGCTTGTGTGTCCGGGCATTGTGTACCAGGGCAAGAGGCTGTCACCCTGGGCCAGCTCCTGCCCACCCGGGGTCCCAGCTGGAGTGCAGCAGAGGCAGCCACAAGCAGGTCCATCGGGTCCGATTCCACCCTGGCTGTGTGTTCCTAGGTTTGGTGCCACAGAACAACTATGAACTCCCCTTCTCCAAGGAGGGTGGAGGGAGCAGGGTAGTGGGAGAGGAGGGGATAGTCTTCAGCATGTGCAAAAGCTGCTGAGGCGGCCACAGGAGCTGCTGGCCTGGCCAGAACCTGTGGTCACATGCCAGACTCTGACGTCCTGAGGACCTGGAGAAGAGAGGAGCCCAGTGAGAACCAAGTCTGGCCCAAGGCTACATTCTGGCCCAGCACCTCCGCACCAGGGTCGGCCCTTACCTTAGTCTGGTTGTGGTTGGAGCTCGATGTGGACGTGGTGAAGTCTGAGTACTTGTTCCCAGTGACCATGCAGGCCCACTTCCAGTACTCCTCCCTCACCTGCAGGGCCCAAGATGCCAGGTCAGGGGAGAGGCAGCCCTGAGAAGTAGGGGAAGGGGGAGGGTACAGCCCCCCTACCCCCACGGCTTGACCCAAAGCCCACCTTCTTGTTGAGGAGGCAGTGCAGCAGGAAGAGGAAGAGGCCCTGAAAGCAGTTGAGGATGGTGAAGATGTAGGCCAGCACATGGCTGTAGCTACCCTGTTGGAAGAGGAACAGGCCGGAGGCCCACGTGCAGCCCAGCACGAAGAGCTGTGCGATGGCCGTGATGGTCAGCACCCTGGGGGGAGGACAGCAGCTGTAGCAGGGGGCCAACCCCAACATCCCCCGCTCTCCCTGTCAGCCCCTGCCCTCACCTGGCCTTCTTTAATTTATTCATGTCTGGGTTGATCTCAGAGAACTTCTGAGTGAGCTTCCAGACAGTCGTCACAAAGATGACAGCATTGCACTGTGCGGGGAGCAGAGAGTTTGTGTTAGGGGTTGTCCTTAGAGCTTGCAGGGAGAGTTGATCTCTTGGGCTCAGTGAGGGGCCAGGTGGCTCAGGCTTTGAGGGTGGAGTGTGGGGGGATAGTTACCAAAATTATGAAGGCCACAGGTCCATTGAAGCTCCAGACAAAGCCGCGGTGGGTTTTTAGCCAGCAGCTGGATGAGAAGGGAGGAATCTGGTCAGGAGTTTGGGGGGAGTGGGGCAGTGTGTGGTGCAGCCCCATGTCCCTGGATGACCCCCGTTCCTCTCTTGGCCCCACCACTCCGCACTCACAAGTTCTCTCGGCCATAGCCATCGTGATAGGCCGCTGCCGAGATGGCCACGATGAGCCCGGGAATGCCGTAGCCAATCAGGTAGAGCCAGTGCTTGCTCAGGCCCTGGCCCTGGAACACTCGCACCACGAGGAAGTAGAGCTCCAGGCCCTCCAGGCTCATCCAGCAGAAGGCGGCCAGGAAGCAGTAGTGCAGCAGCCCGGCCACCAGGCGGCAGCTCGGCCCCACCTGCAGGGGTGGACAGGGAACCCCCATGTCAGCAAAGGGCTAGGACACCCACTGCCAGGCCACAGGCAGCCAGTTTCTCGCCCTCATGGTGGGAGGAGGGGCGGCTGGGGAGTGGGGGAGCTACCCCTACCCTGGGCCTTGCTGACCTAGTGCTCTGGTGCGAGTGGGGCACTCCACGGGGCCGGGCCTCACCTGGCCGCCTTTGTTCTCAATGCCTGCTAGAAATATGGCGGAGCCCAGGAAGAGGCAGATGCAGAGGTGTAGGTGCACTGTGGTGCGGGAGCCCTGGATGGGCCGCACTAGCAGGAAGGTGAGGATGCATAGCAGCAGGCAGACCAGCGACAGCGCCAGTCCCACTTGGGTGATCAGGGTCAACTTCAGGTCCTAGATGCAGGATGGGATAGGCGGGGCTTGATCAGCACCCTGAGGCCTGCCCTCCTTGCGGGTCCCACAGCCCAGACCCACCTGAGATCTGACTGGCCTGCAGGACTCAAATTAGGCTGATCACCACCCCCCACCTCTGCCTTCAACAACAGAGCAAGCCTGTTGTATCTTTGTTATCCTAAATGTCCCCTACACACACACACACACACACACACACACACACACACACACACCCCCCCATGGGTGCAGGTTCCCACTATGCACCCAGACTGCTCTCCCAAAAAGCTCCCCAGTGAAGTCTTGACTGTCACATCTTTTTCTAGCACTAATGGGTCCCCTTTTGGACCTCATCTGCTTCTCCCCCATCTGGCCACACTTAGCTCACAAACCCCACAGTTTAGTATTTCCTGGGCCTTTGGCCTGGACCACCAACCTTCCCCACTCTGCCTGGCCCATTCCAATTATCCACATGGCCATGTATTTATGGATCACCTGAGGCCACATCCGGAAAGTTGTGTTTCAGCTTTTAGCAATATTTAACAACTGGAACCAAGAGATCAGGGTGGGTAGTCGGGAACACTAGCTGGAGTGGGGGCTCCAGTGTCAGCTCAGAGTGTTTAGTTGCTGGGTCCTGGGGAGGTGGTCTGTGGGCCCCAGGGAGGGGACTGGGTGGGTGGATGCAGCATGAACCCACCTGGGCTGTGCAACCATCCAGAACCAGTTGGGCCACACCATCAAGAACCAGCTGCTTGTCTCAGCTAAGCTGGCCTCATCTGTAGGCATTGAGGGGGGCCCTGGGACTGCTCACCTCCACATCATAGTGGGCCATGAGGACGGCAAAACTGCTCAGGTGTCTGCATCGGCAGGTGGTGCTGCCATTCTTGCTGCCCACCTTCCAGCAGCCTGTGGTGGCCCAGTATCCGCCACTGTCACTGTCACCCTTCCAGAAGGCACAAATTAGCTCCTGCCGTGACCGGGGCTTCTCCTCCTGGGGGCAGGTGGGGGTGGTCAGAGATGTTAGCCTAGAGCTCACTCTTGGGTTCTGAGCTTGGGCTGGTTCTGAGAAAGGGCTGCTTTGCATTGACAAGTATTTACTGAGCACCTACTATGTGTGCCAGCCAGGGGCACAGCACAGACCAGAGCAGATTAAGTCCCTGCCCTTGTGGGGCTGATGTGCTCATAGGGAGACAGGCAGTATATATAATAAACCTAATAGATAAGGAAACTAGATGGTGTGTTAGGAGGTAATAAGTGCTATTGGAAAAAAGAAAAGAAAAGGAAAGGAAAGAAAAGGAAAGAAAAGAAAAGAAAAAAGAAAAAGGAGCAGGAATGGAGAAAGATAGAGCATGATTGATTACAGGCTGTAATTTTAAATGAGTAGGTCAGCCCTGGCTGGTATGGCTCAGTGGATTGAGCACCAGGCTGTGAACCAGTGTCACCAGTTCAATTCCCAATCAGGGCACATGCCTGAGATGTGGGCCAGGTCCCCAGCAGGCGGCACGTGAGAGGCAACCACACATTGATGTTTCTCTCCCTCTCTACCTCCCGTCCCTCTCTCTTTAAAAATAAATAAATAAATAAATAAATAAATTTTAAATAAGGAGGTCAGGGAGGGCCTAAAAAAGAAGGTGGCATTTGAACAAAGACTAGAAACAGGTAAAGGGCTGAGTCATGTGAGGGAACTCTGTCCAAGTCAGAGAGCACAGTAAGTGCAAAGGCCCTGGGGTGCATGAAGGAAGTGGCAGAATGGGCGGAGGTGGGGAAATGGAGACTGGAGGGGCCTCCACGACATTGTCTATGGGGTGACCAGTGGGCCAGATCCCCCTTCCCCACCCAAGGACTCACAGGGTGGGAGAAGGAGAAGTTGACAGGGGAGCCTAGTTTCTCCGTGTTCTTGTTGCTCAGAAAGACTGTGTTGACAGCAGAGAGGAGCCTGGGCTGGCCACCACCAACAGGACCTCCATGTGCGCTTTCCAGCTGGGCTTTCTTCTCAGGGTCCAGCTCCAGGGAAGCATTGGCCAGCAATCTCTGCATGTTGCGGCTGGAGAATAAGCCTGCCAGGGTGGGGCCTGGGGGACAGACAGGCTGGCTGCCTCTCCTGCCCTCCCACCTCCCTCCTAAGAACTATACATTAGGCATTTCCAATTGTTACATATTTGGAACCTCACCCCTAGCCACACCCAGCTCTTCTTCCCTCTCCCTGGTGCCCCCTCTGGTTCCCCGCTGTTACCCGGCTCCCCAATGTCAACTGCCTCAGCCCAGTTCAGCTGCATCCGTGCGTGGCTCTGGCCCAGGGTGATGGTTCCATTCCCTTGCTCCTGGATCACCAGGGACAGCTCTGAGGGGACAGGGGCAGTGACTGGGGACTCCAGTTGCAGGGTAGGACCCAGGGCTGGGCAGGGCAGGAAGAGGCCTCACCTGTGTCCAAACGGGAATGGTAGGTGAAGGAGGGTTCAGGTATGATTTTGGTCAGGGTCCTCAGGACTTCTTCCAGGTACAACAGCAGGTAGGTGGCTACGCGGTGCCGGTCAGGCAGGATCAGGGCCTCCAGGTCCCCAGAGACTTCCAGTAGCTCATCCAATGCCTTGATGACATTCTGGAGGGGAAGGGTGACAGCTGCTGGGTCACTGCACCACAGGAACCTCCCAAAGGACCTGATCTGACTCCCTCACAAGGGGACACACCAGGGAACCACCCAGGGTGCCTGGGGGACAGGCACGGGGGAATCATCGAGACACAGCAGTAGCCAGAAAACAAGTAGGGGGAGGAGTGGATGCCTCTGAGCACCTGAAACAATGGCTCTGAACGTTGATCAGTCCCTGACGTTCTGCCAGGGACTGTTCTCAGTCTGCGCCGTCCAGGACGGTCGCAGTGACCCACGTGTGGTGCCACATTGAAGTGGTAATATTTTGGATCTATTGGGTTAATGCAAGCTTCACATTAATTTCACTTGTTTACTTGTACTTTTTTTTAATAAAGCTACTGGGAAATTTAAACTGACATAAGGGGCTCATATATTTCTGTGGGGCTAAGTGCATATGCTAAAACTGACATCTAATGCTAACTGTGTGCAGGCAGGAATCTTTGAGCCCTCTCTTAGTTCACTTAACCCTTCATAACTGCTACATGAAGTAGGAGACTGAGCCCCACACAGGGGGAGTCGCTTGCCTGAGGTCACAGCAGAAAGGTGGGGGGGGGATAGAATTAGAACCTTTGTGGCTCAGCTCCGGATGCAAAATTCTCCCTTGCTCCATTCTGTAGCCACTAGATCCCTCTTGAGTGTGAGTGTGTGTGTGAGGGCCCTGCTCCAGGCGCTGGGGGACCCAGGAGTCAGGGGAGGTGTGTATGTACATCTGTGTTTGTGTGATGAGGATATCCATGGGGCGTGTATGCTGTGCACACAGCCACACATGTTTCTCGTATCAGAGGCCCTTGTTTGGGCTGCCTTCACTTACCCAGAAGCATCCATCCCCCAGCCAGTCCCACACTGTCCTGGGGTCCCCCCAGGTCCAGTCCTTACCTTGATGGTGTCCTTGGCTGAGGCGGTCTTGAAGTATCTGCCAAGATCCTGAACTTTTTCAAAGAAGCGGGACAGACTCTGGGAGAGAGGAGAGGAGGGGTCAGAGAGCCTCACCCGTGGTGGGGGAGCAGCATGGGATTGGGGGAAACAGTCCCTGCTGGAGTCGCTCACCTGGCTCTTGATTCCAGGGGGAGGGGTCCAGGTGGGGAAGGAGATCTCTGCAGGGCACAGAACAGAGGCTCATGAGGTGAGACAGTGTCTGTGTGTATTGGAGGTGGGGTCAAGGGTCAGGCCAGGTACCTTCACACTGGGTAGTCCTTTGTTTATTCAGGAATCCAGGTTTGGACACCCAGCCTGGGAGGCAGTGGCACACGTATGAGCCAGGAGTGTTGATGCAGAAGGTGGAGTTGTGACACTGATGCTCCCTGGAGCTGCACTCGTCCACATCTGGGGATGTGAAGAGGGGGTCAGTCCCTGCCTGTCACAGCCAGATCAGGCCCTTCTCCTCTCCATGTCCCGCCCCTTCCCTGTGTGAGTGCCCCCTGTGCCCACCCCTTGGCTGGAGGGGATGCAGGTCCCTGCGTGGCAGACTCAGGGACTATGGGAAGTGTGCAGAGGCCTGACATGTAGCAGGTGAACCCCACAACAGATTACAGATGTCAGGTATCAAAATACCTTCATCCCAGTTAGTGATTAGCTTCTGCCTGGGGTCCTCCAGGAGCCTTCCCCTGGATACCCCAGCTCCTTCCTCAGGACTCCCCAGGTCTTCTCCCATTTAGCCTCAAAAGAATTAACGCTGGGACTGCAGGGAACCCCCAGCATTTGTTCTGCTGGGATCCTGTGGGTGCCACTGAGTCTGTGAGTGTGTGTGGGATCTGAACTCCAAACCTTCACAGACGGTGTTTGGGCCATTGGGGGACCCAGGAACTGGCTTCCAGCCATCGCGGCAGCGGCACTTGTAGCTGCCCTGGACGTTGATGCAGATGGTGGAGTTGTGGCAGGGGTTTTGCCCCGAGGTGCATTCATCCACATCTGAGGACAAAGCCAGCACGTCAGGCCCTCCCTCTGCTCACTGCTGGCATTCTTCCTTCCTCTTCTCGCATATTCCTAGCAGTTCCCTCTGAGGACACCCCACTACACCCCACTTACCAGCCACCTAGCCCATCAGGATACAAATGTGTGATGACATTTTTCACTGTAAAAGCACCATAAGCTCAGAGCATCCCCACAAGGTGGACAGGGCAGGACCGTGCCTATGCAACTGTCATCCCAGAGCTGTGTCCCCCCACGTGTGGTGCAGGATGGGCTGGGTGGGGCACCAGTAATGGACTCTGACCAGGGAGGCTGCAGCACTGACGGCTCTCCCCGTGTGGATGCTGTGGGTTGGGGCACTGCCACCGCCGTCCAGAGCTGCATCCGGCACTTGTGAGCACAGAACCAGAGGCTCAGCCCTGCCCGGTCAGGCGGCCTCTCCTCACTGCCTGCACTGAGGCCCCACTGTTGCCAAAAGTGCTGCTGCCTGTTCTCTACCAAAGCTCGTTATGGCAGCTTCCTTCAAGCTGCCTCAGCAAAGTAAGAAAATGTGGCACATTTATGAGATCTACACTCCAAACCTTCACAGACAGTGTTGTTTGGGCCATTGGGGGACCCAGGAACTGGCTTCCAGCCATGGCGGCAGCGGCACTTGTAGCTGCCCCGGACATTGAGGCAGTGTGTGGAGTTGTGGCAGGGGTTTTGCCCCGAGGTGCATTCATTCACATCTGAGGACAAAGCCAGAGCATCAGGCCCTCTCTCTGCTTGCTGCACCCACTTCTCACTGCCCAGAACTAAGGATCCCACCCTTAGTACACGGGCCACCACCTGGTGAGCTTTAACTTCACTCTCTAAGCACCTTATTGTGGCCTCCCTGCAAGATGGACACAGCAGGGACCAGAGTCTCCAGTGTATAGGTGGCAAAACCAGGAGGGAAACTGAGTTTGTGGCTGGACTTCCTGACCAAAGACTCCTGCCTGCTCCCTCCTGGGCCCTGGCCCCTGTTCCCTTTCTGGGAACAGGAAGTGATATCTCCCTGGGCTTGCATGTGACACATGAGAAAGGGGAAGTGTCAGGGGGTGCTCACAGGGGCTACACAGAAAAACCCCTGCTCTGTGGCAGGACCTCTCAGGGAGGCAAATCCTTGGGCAGGCGCTTGGCAGGCCCGTGGCATTTCAGGAACCTGAGAATATTCTCCTGCCCCCTCAGGTTGTGGGACCTGCCCCGGCTCCTTCCCCAGCTCCAGTCCAGCCTCATAGTGTCTTCCTGAGGCCTCTACCTCTGCACAGCTTCGGGTCCTCTGGGTTGGCCTCCAACCCCGGCGGGCACCTGCAGGTGTAGCTGCCCTGGGCGTTGATGCAGATGTGGCGGCTTTTACAGATTCCAGGGTCCAGGTGGCATTCATCTATGTCTGCAGGGGAAGGAGAGAGTGGTGGACACCTGCAGCCATGGGCAACCTTCTAGCACAGAAGCATCTGGAAGCATCCCAGGTGTGTGGGTGCCTTTTCTAATTCACACGGAGGTGTCCTATGGATAAAAGTGGTAGCCTAGATGCTTTGTCGTCCAGTTGTGGCCAGATGCCGCCCACGTCCTCTCTGCCAGCTTTGACTCCTTCGGACCCCAGGCAACTCCCAGCTGGGACAGGGACATCACCACCACCTGTGTCCAGCCTGAGGACTTGGGCGAAGGCCAGGGTGGGCCTTTCCAGAACCAAGTGCAGGAGAAATGCTGCATTCCCTAAGCAGGGCTCGTTTTAGTGGCCTTTGTCCTGACTCCCCCAGGGTGGAGGCTGTGGGCTGAGTTCTCCTTGGAATCCCGGTGGCTCTGGTGAGACATCAATCTGCCATCCAGGCTAATTCTGAGACTCCAGCCTGTGGAGATGGACCGAGAACCACCCCTGAGCCTGACTAGGCTTTTGGGAAAGAGCCCAGGAAATGAAAATGGTGCCAGATAGGCCAGGGCCACCTGGACAGTGGGTGGCAGGCCGTGATGGACGGCAGGACCCACATCCAGCCACATAGCCTTGGAGCGGTAAAGGCGCCTCTTCCGGTCCCCACGAGGGCATCCCCTGGACAGGCAGGGAGTGGTGGGAATCCACATGTGAGCCCGGGCAGCGGTGGGCAAGGGCTGGGTGCCCGGAGCAGGGAGCAGGTGCTGACGGGTGAAGAGTGGCAGGTGTTTCTGTCACGTGGCTCCTTGTTCTCCCACCAGTGACACAGGCTTGTGGGCTTTGCCGAGGACGCTCAGCCTCCATCTTCTGTCTCCCAGTGGGTGGGCCTCCATGGTTCCTGGGGTGACCTCCTCAGGAGAGGGTCAAACCTGGGGCAATGGTCCCTGATGATGCCCTTTCTTGTCATCTGGTCCAGATGGGAGCCACTTCATTCACCTAGCTCTCTGAGTCTGGGGCCGGGTGGGGGAGGTCAGTGTCACCCTGCTCACCCCCAACATGTCACCCTACTGGTCCCAGCCATCCAAGCTGCCCACAGTCCTGTGAACTGAAATCACTGGGGAGGGTCAGGGTGAAGGCTTCCTTGAGGAAATGGATGGTGGCTGAGTGATTGAGAATTGGGGTCAGGATGCCAAGAGCCATCTTCTCCAGGTGGGGTCGTCAGCCAGAATCAGGGCCAGCTGGGGCAGGTGGGCCTGAATCTCCATTCTCCCAATTTTCCTGACGGGGCCCCAGGGTCCATCATGGCCCAGGGGCTCTGAGGGGGCTCCCAGTGTCAGGTCTCATCCCGGAGGTCTCTGGCGATGGTGCAGCAGACGCATGTTGCTCTGGAACACACTGCGCCGTGAGCTCCTAAAGAGTCTTGAATGCCGCCACCCTCATTGTTTTATGCAAATAAGATGTCAGGTGAGTGGGGAAGACATTCCAAACTTCTGGAAATGGCCTCTGCAGAGGGTTCTGAGCCCCAGGGTTCACAGAGGCTGGGAGACCAGGTAGGTGCCTGGGATGGCCTGCTGATGCCCGGAGAAAGTGGGGCGAGCGGCCGAGGAAGTGGCCTGGGCCTGCTCAAAGCAGGCCTCGTGGGCCATGACACGAGTAGACAGGCCCTCGGGTGGGCAAAGGAGGGAATGCCGAGGTGGGAGACGGCCCAGCTGAGCCTGTCACAAAGCTGTGTGGTCAGATGGCAGGTCCTGATCCAAACCAGCAGGCTGCTCTCTCCCTTGAGGTCCCCCTCACTCTTGTTCAACCGTGTCTCTGCCCCGCAGCTCCAGACCTTGCTCTCAGCCCTGGCCCCTTTCTCACACAGCAGCACATCTCCTCACTCCCCACAACCACCACCTGTGCCGCAGGGCTTGACTCAGTCCAGGCACACCAAGCGCGATCCATGGCCACCATGGGCAGTTGTGCAGGGTGTCACTGCACAAGGGTGTCCAGCCAAACAGGCAAATGGGGGCTAAAGATCAGCTCACTCTCCACTCCCCAAACACACAGTGTTCACCTGGAGATGGGAAACCTTTTCCCAGTTTCCTCTGCCCTCTGGCCAGCCTACATATTTGGGGCATAACATCCACTCACAGAGGCCCCTGTGGACCAGCAGTGTGGAGCATGGAGCTCTCCCACTGGGCTCCAGGCAGATGTGGGTGCAGGTGCCCCCTTCCCTCCCACCAGGGGCTCTGCCACCTCCCTCTGCACACAGGGCAGGAGGGAAGGGGTTGGAACTGTGGTTTTAAGCTTGTCTCTCCGCAGCTAGGTGGGCCTGTGGACCCTGCTCAAAGTCCTCCAGGATCCTCGACCCAGCCTCCTCCTCCCCTCTCTGAATTCTGCCCTAACTCCCTCTCTCTGGGCAAGTACTGGCTTCTGCCTGACCACCACTGGCCCCATCTGCCCCTGCAGATGCCTGAAGCCCCTTCCCTGCCGGCCTGCTCCTCCCGGACAGGAGGCAAAGCCTGGTGATGTGTGCAGGCCTGGCTGCTCCTGGGGAGGGGATGCCCTGGGCCAGCTGTCCTCTGAGCAGCCACCCTGCAGCACGGGCCCTGGGGTGTCGTCCACCCTGGAGAGGGCATGTTAGATCACAGTGACGGTAATCCAAAACCCCACAGCCACCACAAGCTGTGCTCTGTGATCCCCTATCCCTTCTCAGCAGTTCTATGAGGCAGCACCCTTGTCAATCTCTTTTACAGGTGGGTAAACTGAGGCACGGAGAGGTGAAGAACGTGTCCAAGGTCATACAGTTAACAAAAGGCAAAGCTACTTTTGTTTTTGTCTGTAAAAGATCTACACCTTTTTTTTTAAACACAAAATCACCATAATATCACATCTTGCACATCACCAGTGATTTCTGAGTAAGTGTCCTGGCCAACACCACATACATAGCTGTCAGGCAGCAACACCAGGACTTGGGTCTTTGTCCTTGTCTCTCGTGCTACCCTGCCTCTCTGCTGGTGGGATGGGCACAGGCACACTTGTCCCTTCTCACACCTGGGCCCTGCACCTACAATCAGGGACCTGCCCTCTGTCTGCTGTAGGAATGGCTCTGGTGACCACAGACCTTACGAACAGGGAGATTGAGGACACGGGGTCATTCTTACCTTGACATGTGTTCTGACTCTCATGACTGAAATTCAATGCTCCAGAAACAAGCCTGTATCCTGAGGTGCACATGCAGTAGTAGCTCCCCTCCGTGTTCTTGCATTCTGCCAGTTTTCCACAAGAAACTGGCGAGGGTGGTCTGCACTCGTTGATGTCTGAAACAAAACAGGACAAAGGGTCACCTCCCAGGGGCATGAGTGCCCTCAAGGCAGAGAGCCTCATCTCCTATGTAGCATGAGGCCTGATGCTTAATCAGTGTCTTTTGGGAAAGACTTAGACTCTCAAGCAGTACTGCTGACGCTGGGCTGTGGCTGGAGCAAGCCATTCCTGAAGCGCACACAATCAGCTCTGCTTTTCTCAGCTTTCTGCCTGTCACCCTGGATTTGGATACAGAAGGAAGTGCTGAAGTGGTGGGTGGGTGGAAGATCTGCATCCCCCTCCCCAGGCCTGGAAGGGTAAACTGAGGCACAGGTTCCAGACTTGTAGGGACCTAGCTCCTCTCTCTCTAGGAAGCCACATTTATTCACTTCTCATTTTTCACCTGTGTATCTTTTCTTTTCCCTTTTTTTCTGTCCTTCGTGGTAAAGCAAGGACGAAGACTGAGGCCCCCAACCACCAGTCATGTTTCCATGTGGCCCTCCACCCCCAAGCCTCCATACCATCACAGGTCTCCGTGGGGTCAGTGATCTCCGCAGATGAAGAGCTGAATCCCGGAAGGCAGCGACAGGTGGTGGCGTTGACACATGTGGAGTGCCGGGGGCACCAGGGAGCACAGGCCATGGAGGCAGAGACTGTGGAGATGGAAACCACAGTCACAAGAGGAGGGCTGAGACAGGGGCTGGGGAGGAGTGTTGGAAGTGTAACCCTGAGCTTCCCCCTGCAACAGGCCTTTCTCCTGCCTGGGCTGAGAGGTGCAGGTGGGGGCTGGGACTCTGGCTGTGGACGGAGTTACTCCCAGCAGACTCACCGCTGGTGTTCCGCAGTCGATCTTCCCACAGAACCAGCAAGATCCACAGCGCTGGAACAGAGAGATGAGGGTCAGGGAATCACAGAACAGGGAAGGGTTGACAGAGGCAGAGGTTGACACATCTGACGGGTGTGTCACCCCTCTCAGGCTTGGGCTCTGTCCATTGCTCAAGAAGAGACTCGGCAGGTGACCCCTCCTGACCGCTGATGCCCATGGCCAGAGGGTCTGCGCCCATCACCTGAGGGTGGGTTTCAGGAACTGAAGAATGGGGAGGGGCCCGAGCCTGGCAGGGGTCTTGGCTTCTGCTGACCTGTGGGCAGCAGTTCAGGAGACAGACTGGAGCCAGGTGGCCTTGGTTCTAACTCCAGACCTTGGTCAGGTGCCTCAGTTTTCCCTTCTGTAGAATGGGGATGAAGAGGGGACCATCTCCTACACTAGTGTGGGAGTTAAGCACACAAGTGCTGCCTTTGAGTTGTGTTTACTATCTTCATTTCTTTATGCAAAAATGAAGGGGTTGGACCAGGAGTTCTCTCAGCCCCCCCAAATCTAAGGTGCTCAGCCCCCCTCCCCCCTGGCCTTCCTCAAGGGCATAGGTGCAAATGCAGCACACCCACATCTGTCAGCCCCGATGGCCAGCTTGGGACCCAGTAGAGACATTTCACCTCCTGGCTCCCCACACACAGGACGATGCTGTGGGCTCATGTTGGGCATGGTGCTGTACAGGCCCCCCAGTCCTGCTGTTCCTGACACTCGGGGGGCACCTCCCTCCCACAGAGTGCCTTGGGGGCCCTCATCAAGTCAGCAGGGGCTCTAGAGATGGGGACCTCCTTGCCATTCACCAGAGAGACAGACAAGGAGACAGAGATGGAGAGAAAATAAAGAGGAAACAGAGACAGACAGAGACGGAGCTAGAGACACAGAAAAGGGGACAAAGGGGACAGAGAGGTGAAGAGAAAATTAAGGGATGAGACAGACAGGGAGATGGAGAGATAAACAGAGAGGCAGAAGTTAAGAAGACAGTGACAGGGCCCTGGCTGGTGTGACTCAGTGGATTGAGTGCCGGCCTGTGAAGGGTCGCCGGTTCGATTCCCAGTCAGGGTGCATGCCTGGGTTGTGGGCCAGGTCCCCAGTGGGGGGCATGCAAGAGGCAACCACACATTGATATTTCTTTCCCTTCCCCCGTCTCTAAAAATAAATGAATAAAATCTTTAAAAAAGAAATAAAGAAGACGATGATAGGGAGAGACAACAGAGAAATAGGGAACTCCTAGAAAGGGAGAGACAGAGATGCCAGAGATTAGACAGAGAGACACAGAGAGAGAGAGAGATTGAGGGTGAGATAGAGAAACAGAAACAGAGAAGGGGGAGGGAGGGAGGGAGGGAGGGAGGGAGGGAGGGAGGGAGGAGGGGACCCGGGCAGCAGGTGGGGCTGTGGGAGGACTTGAGGGAGCTGTCCAGTCCCCACTGATCTGGAAATGCTGGGGAGGCAGGCAGTCGAGGCCCTGACAATCCAGAGAGGGGGTTGGGTGGGCGGAGGAGTGGGGGTCAGGGAGAAGAGCAGGTGTGAGTCACTTCCTGGGCCCAATGAAGGGATAACTCATGGCTGGGTCATCCTTGGAGGAGCTCCCAAGGGAATTTTGGGGTAGGTCATGGTGACCATAGCTTGAGGAGCTGTGGGGGGTGACGACTGGAGGGTCCCTAAGCACTTAGCCCCAATGTCCAAACCTGATTACCCTGCGGGCCAGCAGAGGGCAAAGACCCCCCTCCCTGAGACTCTCCCAGCTGGGGTAAACTGAGGCTGGAGTTCCTCTCTTTCTCCTCTCTGGCCACAGGGTTTGGGTAGGTATCTCCTTGGCCAGGACCAGTTCCTCTTTGTAGGACAGACCATAAAAAGGCCTTCCTTGCAGGGCGGGACCTGGGCTGACCCTTCCCCAGCTCCCGAGGCCCCTGCAGCAATGTTCAGGCTCACAGCTGCCCGAGGAGACAGAGGCCCTGATCATGTCCATGCGACAGAGGGACAAACTGGGGCGCAGAGCCCAGGAAAGGCTTATGGAGAGTCTCGTGAACAGGGGCTGGGAAAGGTGGAAGTGAGGGGTCAACTCCCCAGACCCTGCAGGGAGCGGCTTCTTTGTGCCCCATCAGGCTGAGCTGGGCTTTCTGCCCCCACCACAGAGGCTGCTGGGCCAGACCTTCTCCGTCTGGGGCCTTGGAAGTCGCCCAAACAGGAGCCTGGAGAGGAGCCGCTGGTCGGCTGGTCGTCTGCTCGCAGTCCCATCTGGTTTGCATTTCCCCGGCTGCGCCCCATGCAGTGAGACTCCCTAGTCAGGGTCCCCTGCTTAGGGCTCCTGTGCCAGGGGCGGAGCCATCATTCTCTGGCTGCTCCTCCTGCTAAGGACCCCCCAGCCCATCCCCCAGACCTGCCAGTGAAATCACCATCATCATCACAATGAAAATAATAACAATAAATAGTCTCTGCTTAATTCTTACTCTGAACCAGAGCTCCCTCAGCCCTTAACACTGCCCTGTAAAGTGGAGACCAGACGTGCCCTGCCCCATTTTACAGATGTGGAAAGTGAGGATCAGGGCTCTGGGGCTTGGCCCCTGACACACCGCCCCCAAAGTCATCTAATTGTATGCATGCCACAGGCAAATTAAATGCTCTGCATATCGCACCTCGATAAAGCTATAAAAAAAAGCTCATGCCTGTTACTCTGGGTAAGCACACAGAACCCTGTCCCTGTGGCCTGGGGAAGCTCTGGCACCCCAAATGTTACTTCTTAACTCTCTTTGTTGTTTGGTTGTCCAGGCAACAAGCTGCCCTGATAACCGTTAGAGCCACCCTGGGTGGGGCGGGAAGCGAGGCATGGGGGAAGTCACAGCAAAACTCAAGTTCAAACCCACAGTGGTAATCCCTTCAACCCACGGCTGAGTCCCAGCTGGGTCTGAGCAAGACTGGGGAGTCTCTGGGCTTCCCCTGCCCCTGAGACAATGGGGGAATGTGTTGGGGACACCCCATAGTAGAAGGATCCCCTGTCCTTAGCTCCTCAGGCCCCTCTAAGCCATCTGCTAAGAGTGACTTCCTGAGAGGGTCACAGCACTCATTTTTGTCCCCCTCCCTCCCCCCTGCTTCAGTTTTCCCTCTTAAGGAGCAGCTTCCAACGTGGATCCAGAAGGGAGCTCAGACATCCCCCTGGGTGTGGGGGAACAGTCTCTTAGAACACCCAGGGGTCCCTGCCTGGGCATGGGGGTGCCCGGGCACTGCCAGCAGCTCTCCCATGGCACCCACCTAACCACGCGTCTTTCTCCAGGTCAGGCCCCAGAGCTGCCGGCTGTGCCTCCTGTTTCACCACAAGGCGGTGGTGGGGGTGGGGAGGGAGGAGGACGGGGGAGATGGGAAGCACAGACACTAAAGGGGTGCTGCCAGGGCCCCCCAAATTCTCACCACGCAGGACGAGAAAGACGCTGAAGCGGGGACCTCCCATGATCTGAGCTGCCGGCAGGGGATGGAGAGGCTGGGGCAGGGCCGTTGTGTCTCCAGGCTGTGCAGCTGTGCATCACCGTGTGGCCTCAGGCTTTATAAAGTGTGGGGTGGGGCTCGGGGTGGGAGGGGAGCCACTGCCCCGGTCCCTCCCCGGAACTGGTGGGGCAGCTGGGAGCCAGCAGGAAAGTGCAGTAAAAACACAGACCCGGGGCGCTGCCTGTACACTCACACTCACTCACTCACACGCACACCGAGGTGCAACCTGCTCTCAGATCCTTTGCAGCAGTTCCACGGTTTGAGCTTCTGACAAACACTTGGACCCCTCTCCGTGCTCCCAGGAGAGAGGGAGGGCAGGGAGGGCAGTCTTGCCCAGGGGGCTGTTTCTGTTGGGGAGGGGCTGCGTCAGAAACAGCTAGGGGCTCCCATGTCAGGGACCCCCCTACGTTCCCTGCCTTGGCATGCCCTAGTCTCCAAGGCCAGCCCCTGAGCTAACAGTACCCACCCCTGGTTTTCAGGAGAGGAAACTGAGGCACAGAGAGTCCGGAGTCCAAATAGGAGCTGGAGGAGTGTAAAGTTGCCCTACATGGATGCCAGGCAGGCACCAAGAAGAGGAGTTTCAGACCGCTGAGGGGCCGCCATGCTGGAGAGGGCCTGTCCGGGCCAGCGTTGACCCTGGTGGGAAACTCGTATTTCAGGGGATCATGGGCACCACCTTAACCAACGGAGAACCACATGACAGGACAGTTGCTTCCTTTTGAATAGGTCACATGACTGGCTTGCCCCTGGGACCATCTAGTAATTTATAAAATATGTTATTACTTATAAAATGCTTAATCTGAGCCAGGCCCGACTCTAGGTGCTATTTCAACTAGCTGACTGCAAAACACCGATGAGGCAGGTGCAGCTCCGATTCCCGTTTACAGGGGGAGGAGCTGGGGCACAGCTAATAAGCAGCTCAGCAGAGTCCCACAGGCAGGAGGCCTAGTCCCCAGGGTCCAGGAAGAAGTCTCCAAACGGTGCCGATGTGTCTTGGACACCTTAGTGGCCCTGAGGTGTATCCAGCTAGCACGTGTGGTCTTAGTTCCTTGTATTAGTTATTTTGAAGTTTATGGAGTCTCAGGGTGACAAAAAAGGTTTTCCAGTTATGACATCAATACATAATTTCCTTTTTAAATGAACATATTCAAGGATGCATAAGTGTAGAAAATTCAAGAAAATATTATGTCTGTCATAGTTTGAAAGGGGAAAATTGTGGTCATGGAAAAATAAGGTCTCCAATGGCTGCAGGCAGGTGGGGGTAGGGGGTAGGCACATCCCAGGGATGGGGGAGCAGCCCCATGCCTATAATTAACCCCTTCCTACCCAGGACATGGGAAGGGGGTCCCATCAGGGTGCCTGAGGGGCCTGGGGGAAGGAAGTGGACACTGGAGGAGGCTGGGAGGGGGCCAGATCAGGTCTAGAGTACATTTTGGGCATTTTGACTTTTTTTTTAAAGATTTTATTTATTTTTAGACAGAGGGGAAGGGAGGAAGAAAGAGAGAGAGAAACAGCAAGGTGTGGTTGCCTTTGCATGCCTCCATCTGGGGATCTGGCCTGCAACCCAGGCATGTGCCCTGACTGGGAATCGAACCGGGGACCCTTTGGTGTACAAGCGGGCACTCAACCCATTGAACCACACCAGCCAGGGCCACTTTGGCTTTTTTACCAAAAAGCTGGAAACCCCAGGGCTGGATGTCCTGCCCCATAGGCCAAGGTCTGAAAGATGGTTGCCCGGGAAGCTAAGGGGTGAGAGTTCCAGCCTGGGGCGGTGGGAGGCCTGCCCTAGGCCTCAGGGCATTATCCCCACACCCTCCACCAGGGATTATCCGCCATTTAGCCTCTTTGCCCTGGGATGGGCCTTGGGCCATTGGAGCAGGTCTAACCCGTCTGGGATTCAGTCTTCCTGTCTGATGAATGGGATCAGAACACCTGCCCACTGGCCTCAGGAGCAGCGTGAGGAAGAACTGCGGTGACACAGGGGGAAAGGCTTTGAGATGTTTGCTGCAAGCTCAGGGGAGGCACAAAGAGGAACGTCCCCACCTCCACCACTGTGGCCTGGCTTGTCGGCAAGCCCCGTGGCCCTGACTGCAGCCAGACTCCAAGTCCTCTCACTGCTCCTCACTGGCCACCACCACAGTCTAGTCCCCTCATCTCCCACCTTGGTGCCCTGGATCCTGTCCCCGACACTCTGTTCCCCACATAGTGACCCGGGGGTGCTTGGGACTGCCTCAGTCAGGGCACATCCCTCCTCTGCCAAGAACCCTCCCTGGCTCCCGCTTCACTCAGGGCAAACCCCCCATGGTAGAGAAGACCCTGCCAGTTCTGCCCTGTCACCTCCTTGCCCTCAACACCCTCCTCCCCACAGTCCCTTGGGTGCTGTTTTCCTTGGGGGAAACACCAGGCACATTGGAGCTCAGTACTCCGGCCCCAGGTAACCTCCTGGTTCCCTGCCTGCTGTTCTCCATGTTTTTTGCTCAAACATTCCCTGACGTACCCTCCACATCCAATACAGCCCCTAATCCTCTCCTGCCCTCAGCAACCCCAGTCGCTCCCCACTTCCCCGTTCTCTGTGTCGCCCCATCTGACCCCAGGCAGGGAGCTTACCTGCTTCCCTCTTTCCTGCCTGCCGCCCATCCTAACGACTGTCAGCCCAGCGGGCAGGACTTGGTCCTTTTGTGTCTCTGCACCTGGAGGGGTTCCGCAGTTAGCAGTGCTGCTGCCGCCCCCACTGGAGAGAACCCCCTTCAGGTGTCCTGGTCTGGCCCTGGCTGGAGCACTGACATCATTCCTTCTCCTTCCTCGAACTTCCCTGAAGCCCCAGCCCCGCTGACTATTTGGCAGCCCCCACCCCTGGCACCTTGTGGCCTCTGTTTGCATGGTGTGAGGCAGGGACATGGGTCTCCACTTGTCAAACGGGAAATGGGCGACGGGCACAGGGGTGTGGGGCCACTGGCCTGAGCTCCCTCAGCTAGGAAGTGGCTGAGCCAGGGTTATTCAGCCAATAATAATAAGTGATCTCTTATGTTACATTATTATTTTCACTATTATAGCTGCAACAGGAATAAATGTCCAAAGTAGGTGACAGTCGGCATCCAGCACCTACTATGTGCCTGGCCCTCTTGTAAGCACTCCACACGCACCTTCTTCCCAGCACACCTAGGAGGCAGGTGCTGTGATTTGCACTAGACATATGGGGCAACCGAGGCTCAAAGTGATGAAGTGGCGTGCACAGTCACAGGGTGCCCCCGTCTCACATCACAGGTCCGGGGTGAATCCCATCTCTTCCACTTTTGGACCGTGTGGTCTCAGGTGGGTGAACTGACCTCTCTGGGCCTCAGTTTCTCCATCTGCCGGAACCTGGGCAAGCGCAGGTGAGGGTCATACGGCAGTGAACAAATTGCAGGGGCTGGAAGTGGATGCGCAGCCGACATCGGCAGTGGCCGTCAGGATGACAGCTTTCTCTGCGATGCCCTCTGCTGTGGGGAAGGAGATGAGGGGACCCCAAAGTCCTGCCCCCCTTTCTTGTACCACCCATACCCAGCACTCTTAGAAGCCCCAGCTGAGGTGAGGGTCAGATGGGGTCTCAGGACAGAGGGGGGCATAACAGGAAGCCCCCTGACTGGGAGACAATGGCAGAGGAAGGCGCCGGGCCAGCCCCCACGCGGATGAGCCTAGCTGCTGGCTCCAGGAGGGCGGCATAGCTATTGTGAGGCCAGACAGCTGTCCCACAGCAGGAAGCCCCAGAGAGTGAGGAAAGAGGGCGGGAGGCTTCTGGTCTGCCCTGACCCCAGACCCAGGAGCGGGTGGGACAATGGACCCTTTGTCTCTTCCTGCAGGCTGGACACCTGGGTTCCCCCCAGGCCGGTCTTTTGGAGTCTACTTGACCAGGTATTCCTAGTCAGACCCTGCCCAGTCCCAGCTGACATCCTCCTGACCCTTGACCCCCATCCAGCCCAGCCCAGGGAGTTGGGAGGCAGCGCTGAGCTGGGCCATATTTATAGTTCCCTGGCACTGCTGAGTGACCTGCTAAATATAGAAGCCAAGCTATTTGGGGCCTTGGCCTGGGGCAGAGTGGGGGTGGGGGCACCGCACATGTGCCTCCCTGGCATGGGTCCCCAAGAATTGCCCGGGCCTGTCATTTTCTGGGGCTGCAGGGACCTGGGGTCAGAAAGCAGCAGGTCCACCTGAATGGGGACACAGCAAGACCTGGTGGCAGGGCCCAAGGAGATGAGAGGGGGTGCAAGGGACTGTGATGCCTTAGAGCAGCGATTTTAAAACTTTTTCTTTCTTTTTTTCCCCTACCACCCTCAACCTTTTTCATCTCATGGCACACAAAAACTAATTACTGAAATTCTACAGCACACCCCAAAATTTATTTTTTGCCAATCTCACACAAAAAAAATAGGTATAACCTTGATTCTCTCACACCAAACCACTATTTTTGTGTTGGCTGTTGTCATTTTTTTTATTTGGCATCTAAGGGAAAATAAATCAGGTATCGCAAGCTTTAGCAACTCTTGTGGTGCACTGGTTGAAATCACTGTCTCAGAGGGACATGGTTTTGGGGGGCCAAGAAGAAGGATGGCTTTATGGATGGGGGTCCCAGCACCCACTTCCTTTGCCTCCTTCACCCCAGGCCCTGTTGCGGTAGGAAAGTGGGGTTGAGCCGTCACCCCTGAGTGTTCTGTGCTTCTAGGAAATGAAGGCCTTCAGGAAGCTGCAGGGACACCCCCAAACCCCAAACAAACCCCAGCTCCTAGCAACCCACTTCCCCTTCTCCATCACCGCTGAGCTCACTGGGGGCTGTGACATGGGCTGGGGGTGGGGCGGGGCTATAAATAGCTGGTTTATAAGCAGCTGCCAACACTGCTGAGCAGGGTTCCCCAAGGCAGAATGGAGCGGGCTCCTAACCCAGCTGCTGGACCTCAGATGGTCCCTAGCTTCAGCCCCTCCCAGAGATCACCAAGACTTGGGGAAGTAGGGCAACCTGAAGGGTACACTGTTTAAAAGGGGCAACGCCAATGATCTCCAAGGCAGCCCAGGAAC